GATCTATTAGACCTCTAATGAATCTCAATATCTGTCGGCAGAGAAAATTTTCCGAAGACAACGGGTGCGCTTGCTGAGGAACGGGCGGTTGTCGTCGCCATCATTGGTTTAAGGGCTATGGTGTCGTCGAATGCTTCACAGCTCTTCCACCATTGTGCCAACGCCTTTGATATCCGATGACATCACAGAAATGCTGAATGTAAGAGACGTCTCGACCCCAGACGGCAAATGAACTCGCATCCCATGTTTTTCAAGCGAGGTGTAGGGCTCGAATCGCTCGAAAAGCGGCCTTCCTCAGCTTTCCTGCCCGCAAAGTGTGAGAGCAGATGAGTTCCACCTGAAACTCATGACTTGCTCACACGACCTAGCATTCTTGTGATAACTCTTGGAACGCGAACTGCGACATCAGAAAGCGCATGTCATAATAAAACTAGTACAAGACGAATCTGTACCAACTATTTTATGAACACGGTTTTTTTTCGTGAACGGGAAAGGAAAACTATTGATTATACGTATAGTTAAAAGGACTTTAACCTGGATTGAGCGCATTACTTGGTCGTTACGCTCCCATTCGATGAAACGGGCTTTCTGAAAAAAGTGGTCATTACTCCTTCATTTTTGTCCAAATTTCGGAAAGGTTTTATTTATTCTTCGGTATCTCAAGGGTGTACTCATTAGACTGCTCACCACCAAACATTCTCTGGCACTCATATCTGTGTAGCTAGAATAAGGGAGGCATTCAAGTGGTAGTGCGAAAACTAAATAATAACTGTAGCTACGAGTTAGTGAGGAACGATTAACTGATAAATGCTTCGTCATCACATTGCTTTACCTTTGGTTATATCTAACTTGTATTAGGGTGTCCGGAAAGCTTTAAGAGAGTTGAGATAAATGGAAGAAGCAAGGTTTATTATGGCTGTTGGAAATCCACTCTTCCACTCTGAAGAAATGTAGCGAGCAGATTCCTCAGGACAAAGGCATTATTAAATGTTATGAGAAAGCGAAATGTTCGTAGATCGAGTGCGGCGTTGGTTGGTATTAAATCGTGGCAAAAATAATGACCGTTCCTGAAGCAAATATTTTAAAATATCATAACTCGCTTCAAAGTGTTGCTTTTCAATCGAAATAACGACCAAAAGAATCAACACATTTCTGCCAACGAGAAGGCAGTTTAGATATTCCGGCAGCATAAATACTGGAGTGCTGGATCGACGAAATCGTTGAATGCCTTTTCTACGTCGTTCGGTTTCGGAAGCATTTCTCGCGTAAGAAAATTTCGAGATGCTTGAAAAAGTGATAATCCTAGGGGAAAGGTCTGATGTGTATGGAGGATGGTCGAGAGTTTCACATCCCAACACCGTTAGTTTTTTTGTTGTCATCAATGAAACATGCGGTCGGGCGTTGTCATGGAGTAGGATCGCGCCCTTTCTGTTGATTAATGCCGGCTGAATCCGATGCAATTTTTGGTGCATTTTTTCGATTTCCTCACAGTACTTCTCCGCTGTGATGGTTTCTCCTGGAGCCAGGAAGCTGTGGTGGATCAAACCGGCTGTAGACCACCAAACAGTCACCATGACCTTTTTTGGTGCAACTCCGGCTTTGGAAAATGTTTAGGAGCTTCGTCGTGATCCAACCACTGTCCTGACCGTCGTCTATTGTCGTATTGAATCCATTTTTCGTCACACGTCACAATGCGTTGCAGAAAAGGATCGTTTTTGTTCCGCAAAAGATGAGACGAACAGACTTCGAGATCTTTTACCTTCCCAGTTTTCTTCAAATGACGCGCTACAGTTCCGAAGTCAAGTCCTATCTCTTCGGCAATTTCCCTTGTGGATGCTCTTGGACTGGCTTCTATCTGTGCCTTCAATTCGTCGTCTTTAACTTCCGATGGCCGACCGCGTCCCTCCTGATCTTCCAGGTTGAAGTCTCCATTTCGGAATTTGTCGAACCACCTACGCGTGGTGCGCTCATTTGTAGTACCTTCGCCCCATGCGTTGGTGATATTCCTAGCTGCTTCCGCAGCATTACGGCCGAGTTTGTACTCGTGAAGCATGATGAGTCGGATTTCGCGTCTTGACAACATCTTCGCGGGTGACCCAAAATCGTACAAGAAATGGTGGCAGGGAAACGGGAAAAAATTTGTACGATAGCTTGGAAAATGTGCTTCCGAACGATATATTGAACTACCAAACTTGCCCAAGTTTTCAATGAATTACGATCAGTGGAAAATAGCAGGTGCGATAAGGGTCATTATTTTTGCCACGACCTAATATTGTCATCACCCACTATACAATCCTTTGTTCCTTTGTTTGTTTGTCCGGAAATTCGTTTCTACCAGAAGAACAACTTGGAGAGGTGGGGTCAAGGTCGGGATGGGTAGGGCATGTGACAAGATGTAAAGAGCAACCGTAACCCATGGTAAGCCCCGCCCATAGTGGGCGGGGCATGCGTCGGAAAATTGCGGTCACACTGAAAAAACTCATAGTTCGGCTCTAGGGCAGTTCCGAGATGGGGGAAAGTGGATTAAGGTTAGCAAAGGGTTTACCCGTCAAATGGAGGAGACACACCCAAAATGGGAGGGGCGTACTCGCGATGGGCGGTGCTTCCCAGTTGTCGGTAACTCGGTCCCCGAGAGAGTTCAGAGATTGCAAAAAAGTCCATGGCGAAGACAAACATCTGGCGAGAGTCCGTCATATCTGCGGTGTGCTGTGACCCGCCACAGTGGGAGTGGCGTGACCTCAAACGTTAGGTATTCATTAAAAAAATCGTAGAATCAAAATCTTAAAATCGTTTCCACGTCGCCTGTAGTGGTCCTAGAGCACTACAGGCGACGTGAAAAACTGGATTATGGTCCCAAAAAGGTAGCCGTTGAGTAGTACATACACCGTTGTGGGTGGAGCTTGAGGAGAGCTAGGCGGGGCCAAAAAGACTTTGAAACGCTTTCAGAGCACTCCAAACACCGGAAAATGTGGATTAATGTCAGTAATGGGGCACCGGTTGAAATTGCGAGGCACATCCGTTGTGTGCGGAGCTTGCATCGAGGTGGGTGGAGCAAATTTGAAAACTCGTAAAACGCTTCCAGAGCACTCCAATTGGAAAAAGTGGATTAATGTCAGCGGTGGGTCACCTGTTGAGAAGTACGAGGCACACCCGTTGTGGGCGGAGCGTGAGGAGAGCTGGGCGGAGCCAAACGAAAAAGACTTTGAAACGTTCCCAGAGCAGTCCAGACACCGGCAAAAGGTGAGCAGAGGTGTGCAAGTCCTCGGCCATTGAAGTGAGATAGACACGCCTGGGCGAAGCAGGTGTCGAGGTGGGAGGGGCAAAAGTCAAAAATTCACGAGTTGCTTGCAGAGCAGCATATGCACCGGGGACATGTGGACTGAAGGTCACAAGGGGTTAGTGGATAAAATGGGGCAGACATCCTTAAAATGGGCGGGACGTACCCGTACTCGAAATGGGCGGTGCTTGCTACGAAATTTATATTTAGGAACTGAGTCACTTCAGGGATCACAACTAGCAGCATCTAACTACCACCTCGTTTGATCACTACCGCATCCTTTAAAGAGCAAAAATTCCGAAAATTGACGTCTACTCGAAAATGAGGTCCACCTCTTCTTTTTATCGTAGTTGCCGTAGTTCTATAAGAGTGGAAATGAAAAGCTGTGCAAAAGGTGGACACTAGTCCTCGTCATTAATGTGATTACCGTTAGTTGGAGATGTCTTTTAGAGAAGAAGATTTTGGTCAAAGTGTCGCAGGACCTTCCTTCCAACCTAATAGCATTTGAAGCGGTGGTGGTGTGGTGGCAAGGGCCCGCTTACCCCAACCACGCTCCGGGGTCGACTCTCGCCAGTGCCAGGAATCTCGTCTTCTACTCCCTGGAGACGACGAAATCGTGCCATTTTTAACTAGCAGGATAAAACCGCTGACACGCATTGGGTTGGCTCATTAGTGATGGCGTTTCTTTTCTCGAAATTCCTGAAGTTGGAAAAAATTCATTTATGGGATTTATCCAACTGTAGGGCAAAAAAGGTACCCTTCCTTACTGATGAGCACGGAGGGAGGATACCATGGTTGTCTAGTTTCCGTCTAAGGGCACGTGCGAAACGGAAACTAGACTACTTCCTTGAAATCAATATAAACAAAAATTCGATCTGAAAAGAAAAACTAAATAAATAAATGAATAGATAGTTAGATAAATAAGTGAATAAAAAAATCAATATTTGAAAATTATATCACAGTTTCATACAATAATGTTGTAATCATTAGAACAAATATAAACTAATTATATCACACTAAAATCACGTTTATAACATGAGAGAATTTTCAGCTCTATGAGGCAGTAGGTTGATTTTCCTAAAGATTCTCTTTTTACTGGTTTTAAGAAGTGTCGGGCCCACGAAATTGAGCATTTTTAACACGCGCTCCTTTAACCATTCATTTGGAGAGCTGAAACCGCGTTTTGATGAATATTAGTCCAAGAGGCCACGCTTTTAATCAAGGCCCTATACCAATTGAGAGCTTACTGAATCAGCTTCTTCGAGGAGATCAATGCCGACGAATGGGTAAGTGGCAGAGGTCATGAAATGCTCCCACATATCATTTATATATTACCTTCTCTTGATGGGGAGCTGCAAAAATTAGTGCACGGGTTCTCGGCCGCTCTGTAAGAGGACTCCCCATGCGATGAACATTCACAAGGTCCAAATTCCCATCTTTCCATCGCTTGAACCAACCTTAAGCTATCCCAGACAGCACCCTTCCTTGATCACACAGGTCGCAAGTCGCATCAACCAAAATTTCATGCAATAAACGCCTTTACTTATGGTCCAGCCCAATACATGGGCTGCACGTCATTGCGTAAGTCATATCACTTTTGAGTTAGTGCAGTTGGGAATAGAGAAGGACGCATGTGGCATTCCAAAATCCACGCATTTCATTTTTATTTCGTTCAGGACTCAATGGCAACGAATTTTGACGGGATAGATTTGGGAAGAGGTAGTTAGGTAATTGTTGTGAACCTAAGACGCATTTGCAACTCTTCAAACTCTGGCGAAGCCGCAAAGTGTACGTATTCATTGTGATCCTAAACTATGAGGAATTTTGCCTAAGGACTAGCTTCAGAGTGGGTGAAGCAACTTTTGCAAAAAGTGATTGGGAACGAAATTCCGCGCATTTTGTAGCTTTGCAAGAGTTTGCAGCTTAGAGAACACCCTCGCTTGAACCGAGCTATGCCCAAACACCAGCAGGTTTTATGCTATAAATCTATCTCTCTCGTGCAGCATTACAGTGTAGTGATTTTTTTCGTGATCATGTACAATGCCGTTAAGCGGGACTCACCTTTTTCAACGCTCTCTCGAAAGCGCCGTCATTTACTTGAACTGCTGGGTCGTAAATGAGCACCACGCGCATGCCCCAGCTCTGCACTTCATTCAAATACTCCGGTAGTCCCTCGAATTCCTACAAAAAACATTCAAACAGTAACCATATCACCAACGTGGTCACTGAAGGGATGGTTTTATGGCCTACTTTTTTTTTACTCTTTTTTGCACTACTTCATGCTTTGGCTTAATCCCTGAATTTACTTCAAATTTGAAAATAGGCTATAATGGTTAAACTTCATAAGCTGAGAACGCGACATGTCAAAGTGGAACCATTCCTTGCACAACTTGGCGATCTTTAGTCGCCTGTTCACCTTTCGTGACTCAAAGTGTGTGATAGGCCCTCTCCACCATTGCCGTTTCGTTTCACCATCGCCATGTAGCGATGAGGTCTCGATCGTTTCGTATATTCCCTTGCCGCATTGCCCTTTGTTTCTCTTTCTTACGCTCATTCTCTCTTCGTCATATGCTCATCTAATATTTAGAACGAACAGGAACGGGTACTGAGCGTTTTTGACGCTTTTTTTGTCTTCCTGCTTCTTCACTGTCGTGCTAACTTGGCACTTTGACATTTGTGTTCAAACTCACACACATATAGGAAACCACTGATGGCTTTAGCAACGGACACTTCTCACTTGAAAATGGTTCTGGACTTTCCAAACAAAACAATACTCCACATTGGATATCTTTCCTTTCGTTGATCACTAATGAGTTAGAAGCTTCAGAACATACCTTTCCGATGGTAAAGATTTTGCATCGATCCATGTAATCAATGTCGACCACAACCGTTTCAAGAGGGATACCTTTCTTCCTGTTTCTAGCAATCGTTTCCTTCAAATCATTCAAATTCTTGTAGCCATAACGCGACAGCTAAAATTAGCAGTTAGTTGTCCCCAAATCCTTGTTAATCTCTACCTTAACATTCGGATTCTATTGCGCAGACGGTCTCTTCAGAAGAGTTCGTTTTTCTGCGCCAGAAGTGCTTACCTGGAATCCAAGCGCCCAGTAAGCCGGGAGAACAGGGGTTCCGATAAAGGAGAGATATTGCTGCGTAACTTCTTCAGGGGTTGGTCCCGGAAAGAAGTACAAATCCAAAACACCACCAATTGCACGATAGATTATCGTGGGACCCGGTGCTGTTGTGAATTCCTGAAGATAGAAACCCTCTAGCCCTCTTATACGGTTTTCAGTACTCCTCAGAGTACCTGAGCATTGCTGTTGAGGATAAATACTCCGTGAGCTTTACCATCGGGTTCCACGACCATATAGAAGGGGTGCACTCCTGCAAAAAAACTGGATTCCAGCCTAGAAGCGCTAGAAGAAATGACTGGACAGTACCGTATAGGTTTTTCGTGTCGACTCCCTTTGAATAGGGAGCCTCGTCTCTTGCCCACATTCCCCAAGTAAGGTATGTGGAAAAATCATGCTGAAGCAGTTCTAGCGGCATAGTTCATATTTGGCATGGGAAATGTGTACTGAATACCTTAAGCGTTTGATGAACATTTTCTCCCAACCCATACATAGCATCCGAAGGTAACTGAGTAACAATTTGAATAAATTTGTCAGAAAATAGCAGACCACCTGAAAGCAATGTTCTCGTCTACGCTAGGACTACTAGTTCCAGAGGAAATGAACAATAAGAAAAGTGAATATTGCTGACCAATCGATGTGTCAAAAAGATGAGTTCCTGTTGACTTTCGTTTGACCACGAAGTGAAACAGCTCTTTTGAAGTGTCGGTCTCAAGCTGAAAATTTAGATTTAACCACATTGTCCGATAACTGGATTAACCCAAATGTACTGATGTCTTCTTCAACAAAATTCAATGAGTACTCGAAACACAATTTTCATTGGTAAGCTTTCGCTGTGGTAACAGCTTCTTCAGACCTCAAATAAAATAAAGCATACATAGTACTACAAATCTTTACAACAATCGATTTGTCGAAGTACAGTCCTCATCATTGCGGACCGGTGGGGCGTGTCAGCCAGTATGAGTGTGCACACTGTTGAAGCCGTTCTCAGCCTTTTGTTGAAACGCGTATGCGAAAAAAGTAGAAAACGAGTAATACGGAGGATATAATACAGTCATATCATTTGCTCGCTTTAAATACTGGTGGAGAGCGGGTTTGGCACCGCGCCAAACGCAGCCGCACTGAACCGCCCCGACAGTACGTAATGATGAGGACTGTACAAACCAGGCTGGAGTCCTTCTGCGTGTTATATGGTACGCTTAATGGCAACGGAAGAGCTTATTGAGAAAGTGCGCATCCTGTACTCCAGCTCGAAGAGCCGCGTGCAAGCACCAACAGGCATTTCGCAGGAATTTTCAGTCACGGTCGGGGTAGTGCTTGCGCCTTTCCCGCTCCTCTTCGTAGTCCTTATGAATGCAATCTCGCAAAGTCGTCAGAAACCGAGTCCTTGGACGCTTCTCTACGCAGATGATGTGGTGCTGGCCAGTGAAGATAAGAGCGAACTCGAGCAGCAGGTGCAAGCTTGGTCTGATCGCCTGACAAAGTTCGGACTGAAGTTGAACATCAAGAAGACCGAGTACTTGACGACCGATACAAATGAGTCCGATTCCATTAGGATCAGAAACACTGAGCCCACTTGTACAAAAGCATTCAAATATCTTGGATCAGCAATTACCGCCAATGGTGGTGTGAACTCGGAATTGAGAGCGCTGGTCAGCGTGGTAGAAATAGCGTCCCGTGTCTGAGATTCACTGCGACAAGAGGCTTCCAGCGAGCCTTGAGTGATAGATCTTCAGGACTGTGGTTCGACCAGTCGCCTTATAGGGTGCTGAACGCCCACCGTGACCAAAGAAATTGAAGCTCAGAGATGGACATGAAAATGCTACGTTATTTGTCTCGTGTGAATAGGATTTGCAGTGATGAAATACGTAGGGAAATTCGGCGTAGCTTCCATAGTTGATAAAATGCGAGAATCTCGTCTCCGATGGTATGGCCACGTACTTCGCGCGAAGGCGGACATCGTCTGTAAGACTGGTCTCCAGCTTGACATGCTCGGGAAATGCCTTGAAGGGCTCCCCAATCAACGCCAACTTAAAGCGCTGCACGTGGATTTAATGTTGATTGGTGCCTTCCCTGATCAGGCATTCAACGGGGGAAATGGCGTGAATCACACAAAATCAGAAGAACGGAACCCGCCACAGAGTGAGACAAAAGGTGAAGGATAAGGAGAGAAGGAAGCTCATATATAAAGTCATCGAGGGAAAGGCAGTAGTAGTGTTTGTTAAAATGAAACGCCGATTAGGCATAGGTGGGGTACATTAAATCCGCGCATCAGCGAAGGGCACGCACAATAAAACTGTCACGGTCACAACCGAGAACAATTCAAGGGTCGGAGTGGGAAAATCCGTACATTGATTCTCATCCACTTGTGATGGTGCACAACGAGATCGTGACTAGATGTCGCTAGGAATTTTGAGGATGAAATACCAAAATGATAAAAGAACCACACATTGCTGAGTACATGCTCTTCTTCCCCTAGAGACGACCCACACAAAACCAAACAGTGCCCTATCTGCCTATGACTGTGCCGCGGTGAGGGCCCTAGTTATAAATATATGATTCAGGGATTTTAGCGGTAGGCGTTGAAGCACACAAGAAACATTTTATCACGCAGTTCTTGCTCACCTATACATGGTAGTGGTATGGAGTGGTCAAGGTTTCAGTCACTAATGTCGGTAAAACAGTCAAGGCCAACACCCTCACCATTCAGGCCTTTCAGCAATGAAGGTGCAGTTAGACAGGGAACCCCCTGTGCACTATCGACTGTTTTGTAGGCCACGTAGAGCGTATCTGAATTCTGTGTAACGCTGGACTGTCCCTGACAGATGCTGCCGACATGGCTAGGCCAATAAATAATTTTTACTGAAATAGTATCTTTAGTTATCACAAGAATGCTGAGTTGTGGGCAAAAGTCGTGCCCCAGGCGGGAGTCGAACCCGCACCTCACGCTTTCCGGGCGAGTGCGCTATCCGTTACGCCACCAGGGCCGCTTTTACCCTCTCAGCTTAACGGCTTATGCCGTAACCTTACAGCACTCACACGTTTAACTTGGTGAGCCGGTCAGCCGTAATCATC